TGAAAACCAATAGCCAAAAGTGAATTTCTACTAGTCTGTGGCTAGTTGGCTACCATTAGTGTCAAGCCCTGTACTGTTTCACAACTCTAACAAAGAATGAGTGCAAAAAACAATTTACTCTAGCTAATGGCTGTCTTAACTTAAATGAATGGTTTGATCTTGTTTTACCATAACTATTAAATTCAAATAAATTATTACAGTTGAGGCCATTAAGACCATGAATAGTCTTGTAGCAACTAAGGAAACTCTTGATTGTTAAACAATTTCTCCTTGTCAGCACCCTAGCAGATGTATAGAGAACAGTATGGAGAATATCCATACTGATGTTAGGGTGTAAAGAGTTATTTAGAAGGTTTTCCTGACAGTTTCTCGCAACCCTTTTATTATGAATTTCAGTTGAGTAAAGTGCAATCATGGAAGAAGTTTAGCGACCATCTTTTACCATTAAATTGTGATGTTGTCTTAGGCAAATTAACAAATCAATAGTGGATTAGCATGGTCTGTACTCTTATTGACAACGACAGTGGACAAAATGTTGTGGACACCACAATATTGACATCAAATAAAACGATTCTTTTAATTACGTGACCAAAATCATGACACAATGACACCAGCAGCATTGTCTGTACCCTTATAGAAAATGGAAAACTGGCCAATCAGATTGCAATATTACTGCCAATAATGGAGAGAATATCTATTCTTGTCAACTACAAATCCAACCATTGATTATAAAATAACTTTTTGACACACACTATTTACTATATATGTTGTCTAGGTTTATGGATTTTAAGCTACTTGTCAAGCAACCCACCCTTACAAGCCTTGATGGTTTTTCTTGGATTTCTCACCATTAATCTGTGTTTTCATTAGTGTCCCAGAGCTGGGACCAGAATCACAAGAACTGGAATTTTCCTTTTTTAAAAGTGTAATTTAAGGGCTAAAAATGATACAATTTCACACAATTACCCACCTGAATTTTGTTCCACAGTTTCTCTGTCAGCTAACTGGATTTTACATCCATAAAATTCTTCCTAAAAAAAGCGAAAAAAATTCAATATGTGTGCTGAAAAAATGCTAGTTTGCTCTCAATTTGATGCCTTCCCTCAGCGAATTTAGAGAGGATATAATTTTAATCGTTTTATTTTCTTGAATTTGTTTTGAGGGGGGCATTTGAATCTGCCAACTTAATTTGTAAACTGTGTGGTTAATTCCAGATTCGGAAAGAGTACCATATAACCCCAAACATTAATTATGCATTCAATTTCATTAATTATGTATGCACCCCATTGTTTATAAGACAATGACCTATTCCCACGGGTTTAGCATATATACATTACTAATAAGTACTTACTGCCTCAATAAAAGAGAAATTGATTGAAAGCAGCTTTTTCGTCTCCATTCCTTTCTCACGTTCTTCTCCCTTCTCCCCTGCGTTCCTAACTTCTCGGTTTTTTTTTTCTTTCCTTTCCTTTTTACCTTCGTGGCAGTTCTGCTGAGCCTTGAACCATCGCTCCTCAGACAACGCGTTATTATCAGACAATTATCAAACCATAGCCTTACCACTATGCTACGCAAACCAGTTAGGAGTTCCTCTCCAAAAGTTACATTTTCTTTTACCTTTCAGTAAAAAAAATGTTCATATCAATATGTGCATTGATATAATGCACCAAAGGTCCCCTTTGCACTAAAGAATGCATTCTTCTTCTCTACGATTGGCCAAATACCACATACAAAACAAAATTTATTGATACCTCTTTCTAATAACATCAACGAAAGAAGAAGATAGAAGGAAGAACAACAACAACAACTCGGAGATGGGGAGACTGAATTTTATTCGACTTTCTCGAATATTATCGGATCACGACCGGTGCATACAGTGGAGTAAGGATCACAACCTGCTTGTGACGTCGGTAAAATGTCCTCGAGCTGGGCGCAGCATACTT